TATTTTATAATGTTCGACAGCGATGTATGTTCATCGACTTTTCCGCGAATTGCTAGCCGATTTTCACTTTTATTTTTTTAATAGACAATTTATCGGTAATTGAAATCGATTACGTAGTTTTGTTTTATAACAACAAAAAATTGCGTATTTCGTACATTTTCGGATTTGTTTTTACAAACAGTTCTCCTTTCCGACTTTACAAAGTTTTCAACGGATGAAATAATTTGTAAAGTTGATCCAGTAGTTTTATAACCTATTCGATGTTAACAAATGAAGAAGTTGGACTTTAAAAATTCGGCGGAAATCACACCGCGCAACGCATACTTTCTTGAGACGCATAACAGATCTTCCGACACATTTGCACCCTAAACGTTCTGCCATCAATCGCTTTCATATAAGTTGTAAACGTAAAATAGAAACGTTCGTACATCGTCATAGGGCCTCATTTTTTTACAGTTCATTAGAATTGAATCTTTTCGTTCAACAGTTTTTTTTGGGACACTAACCTCTATTGACGTTGGCAGTGTCACAGATCAACTCTGGGCCAGTGCCAGACTTTCGACAATGCGTCCACAAAAATAGACACTGTCGAAAAGTGTATACGTTTTTTTTATCTTTAAAATGCCACATTGATTTAAAGTAAACTTCTTGTTGACCAAGGATCTTACTAGAAATGTTGTACATACTATTATGATAAGCTGTCCGCATTGAAATGATGCGAAGCAGAGGGTGAGTAGTCGGTGGCGTAGTGGATAAGCGCCGCGGCACGCGATTATTGTCGTTAAGCAACTTTTGTAAGGGTCGGTCACGGGATGGGTGACCAAAAAATTATCATCTCGTGCTACTCCGTGCTTCGGAAGGCACGATAAGCTGTTGGTCCCGGCTGCATTTGTAGTCGTTAATACCCGCCAATCCGCATTGTAGAAAATGAACTTTTCTATATCGTCTTGGGTCTGGGTTTCGTGGTACCTTCGTTGTCCCAGATACTATATAATACGGGAGCTTTAGCTACTCATATTGGATTCTGAGCAATGTATGTGATATTGTTGAATGTTTATTTATTTAATATTAATATCAAATAAAGTTTTATAAGGTGATTAAGCTGAGAGGGGACTTCGTAATTAAACGATTCAACCTCACGGAGTTTGGGCTCATTTTATTCGTCATTAAAAGAACTTTGATTAGAAATAATATCCAGTCTGATGATGGAAACTGTAAAATGTCTTTGGAAACTTGTTTATAAACACACAACTCTGTTCAATTTGAGCTTGTTTGACCTCTCTGGAATAAGACTTCTATGAAATATTGTAGTGATTTTTGTATCACATATGTTTTACACTGTTGTTCATTAGTTTCATTACAATCGTCAGATTTTATTATTATTGCAATGTTCATTGGTAACAATTTATTGCTATAATTTTGATAAACAATCTTAAATTATTTTTTTCTGTTATAGAACCGCTAGTATCCTACCACTATGGAAGTAAGTACTGAAAACTATTACAGATCCGTAACTTCTCATAATTATATCGACATATTCTTATACAGGTAAATGAGAATCTTTATATAACTGTCAAGTAAATAAATATTATAATAGATACTCACGTAAATCAGATCTCCTTTTGTATTGTATTCGCATTACGTAAAAGCATATATTTTTAACAACACCATCCTATATTCGTATCTTTTCAGAATATCCTTTATTATAAGATAATACTGCGTAAGAAGATCCACTGTTTTTGACAAATAGAATACATTTCAATTTCAGTCCTACATTCTATTTACCAATAGGAACGTAAGACTAGTCTCGTATATTGTTACTCAAAGTATATTGTTGTAATCATTTAATAATTCAAAAACAAGTTGTCACCTGGCGAAATTCGACATTGTTTAATATTATTGAGAAAGAATTATACAGGGTCATTTGTAACATATCAATAAATAAGACTTATACAGGGTCATTTGTAAAACATCAATTTATATGTTTGATACACGGTCAAACATAATGATGTCAACTCATGCTTGTCTTAGCTCGTGGTTTTTAATTATGACCGTGCGTCAGAAGTAAGAGTGAAAATAAAATAAACACCGTTTAGAATCTTTTTATTTCATAAAAAAAAAGAATTATAAATAGGAAGAACGTACATAACATCAATACACACGACAATGCAAATATAATATTGGAATAAACAACTGCTTCCATTTCAATCATTCGTTATTGTTTTGAAGTTACAGATATTAAAGTCTATGTATATCTAAGAAAAGATGTGTTAAACGTTTTGCCAGAAGTATCTATTATACTCGTATCTATATTCGAGAGAAGTAATTACTTAAAAATATAATAAACAAGAATTTGAATTTCTTACTTCATTCAAATTCTCGTCTATTGGTCAAAAGATGTATTTGTTTAAATTATGACATTGTCTTAAGTAATTACTTCTCTCGACTATAGATACGAGTGTTAGTATTCTCGGCGTACTAAAGCATTATCCGTTGAGTATGCAAGGTTGAAGATTTGATATTTGTCTGTTCTGCTAGGCTAATCTGTTAATAATAGCCACTTTCTCGTAGTTGAACACAACGCTGTCCACGACGAGATCCAGGATGTTTTTATAACAGAATAGCACTCCTTATGATATTTTTGCTTACTACTTATTTTCCCTCAGATATGCACAGATTCTGAATATTTATCCGAAAGTCTTTTCCATTTTAAATGGCTTAACGCAAGTAAAAACTTTAATAAAGACACGCGAAATTATTTAAAATTCAAAGTTGAAGACTCAGTAAATTTAAAGTTACAATTTAAATGTTAGGCCTTCAATTGGGTTTTTCATCAAATCTATCGTGTTATGAGTCATATCTCATTAAGATGCCATGGCAGCAACTCTGGCAGCGTCGTCAGTAAAAACTTTTCAAATTGTGTAGCAGTTACCCTATTTTACTTTGTGACGCCAGCGAAAACAATGACATATGAATCATAACTATCTCTTTTGACTGCCAACTGTTAAATATATTTAGCCTGGTGTACCTACTGACTCAAAGACAATTCATAATAAACTGCTAGTCGTAAAACAGTCTCCACCCCACGTTTTTCCAATTAAATACAGCCTTGGGTCCTTCAAAAGAGGTTCGCCCTTTTTTAGCAGGCCGACACATATATCGGTGGCTGCCGGGAGTAGATTCGACTTTTAAAAGCTATGACTTATTTTATTAGCTTCTATGACAGCTTATTAGGCTATAATATCACTTTATTGTAGCAACTTTGTCGTGCCACAATCATTAAAAAAGCATACTAAGAATAGAATTTTAGAATTTTCCCCCCGAAGAAGAAAGGGGTCATAATGTTTATATGAAAGTATGTTTTCGTAATTATAATGATGAAAATTGGTATTTGAGTAGTAGAAAATAAAAATTATGAGAATATGTCTTTGTGTTTGTCTTTCTTTGGTATCGCAACGGAACTTCGTTATAATGATATGGAGATAGTTGGCAGGCTGAAGTATAAAGCGACTAAAAATATTTCCCTATTTCCACACGGGTGAGATCGCAGGTAACAAAAATGCTAATAAAATAGTCATATAGTGTCGTCTGATATATCGTTTGGAAGCTAATATTGGCGTCTCATGGACACGAAAGTAGCTGCTATAGCATCTAGTAAGATAAGGCTCTATATGAAAAAATACATGTAACCTCATAACAACTTCACTAACACAAAACACATTAAAAGTTTGACTAGAATCATATAAAACATACGTACTTACATCAGCATATTCAAGGACACGGAACCAATAAACATTCGTCAAATATGCAAACAAAGGTGTATTAATTTTTATTTTGTTGTTCGTGTTATGTGTAATATTATTTCTTAACATTTTATTTTAGTTAACTTTAGTGTCAAAATTACCAAAGACTGATATCCAAAAGAAAGGACTCTAGCTGAGTTTGTTATAGGTTCTTTTTAGGGTCTCCCAACAAAATGTTACTATCCGTTTCTAAATGTTATTAAATGACTCATATTATTATATTTTTATCAAGAATCCGTTCATAAAGAAGCAGAGATAATTCATGAAAAAATAATTGTACATCAATCAACATTATTCATCAATAATAAAAAATCTAATTAATAATGATCACAAATATAGAAACATTTACATCTTACAAAGGCAAAATGATTAAATTAATGTAGGTACACAAGATAGGGCTTGATAACATTAAAAACTACACCATATATTGAACGGATATTAACAACTTTAAAGCTAAGGTCGGCGCAAATCTGACTGAAAATCCGTCAATCGCCTGAAGGAAGTTCGCGTCAGTACGGTACAGACCATTCGTCAACTGTCATGAATGTCATATTAAGATGCAGGACGGGCCACGACTTATTTCCAGTCAGATATGCGCCAACCTTCAATAGTTTATATAAATAGTTCGCATAATTATTATTAGACATTTTGTAAATTAGCAAATATTTATGTTTTTTTATTATTAGGCTTTTATCTTTGGTCGTTTAAATATTTAAAGCTTAATCGTGAGTTTCCTGAACACTTGCAAATTAAGGCGTATATTGGAACGTCTGTTATCAAGAATATATAAGCTATTATGATTTTTAAATAAGTTTATAAGATTGCATTAATTTTAGACGGTGCTGTTACAAGTAATGTTACTAAATTTAAAGAAGAATCTAGCGTAAACATAAGTATTTCTTCGGCGATTATTTGAAACTAGTTTTTTTTTTATAATCATAAACTGCTAATTTTAAGATAATTTCCATTGCATATCATTAACATTAGTTACTTTATATTGATATTTTAAATACTTAGATTGTACTTTAAAATAACTTTATTCAAATTTAATGTTGCATTATAGAGAATTCAGTTGAGCATTGATTTATAGTGCGAATAACTTAAACATGGCTTATAATATTACGCTTACAAATCACATGTTACTTTAAATAAACTCTAATATGTTTCAAAGTTCAATAAGACCAGATAATTAGCTGCTTAATGTATTTAAATGTAAATAAATCAAGGCTCAATGTGTTGATAACACTAATAAAATTGTCATTTCAAGTAATAAAGAAATAACAGCATCAGTCATTGGTCAAACAGCCGAACCAGATACTTGAATAAGTTATTATGGAAGACAATAACACTGCTATCATAGCTATTGGTCATTTGAGCACTGTTCAGTAAAGAGGCGAGAGGGAACATTTGCTTCAATCGCATTATGTTAAGGCTGTGACGTCATCGGCCTATAATTGTTGGTTCGTCGGCCATTGCCAACTCGTCTGTGGCAGCTTTGTCACCTTTCCTTTTCCTTGAGTACCATAAGAAGGATGCGGCAGCTGCAAAGTTCACGAGTACCACGAACCAAGCCAAGAAGAAACTTATGTGGAAGCTGTAAAGAAATGTTCTATCAATACGTGTTAAAGGAGGAAAAAAGTTTTTGCATTTCTTCTAGTAGATAACGATAAGATTATAACATAAAATACGTATATAAACATGTACCCAGATTTGTAAAAGAATCATATAGTGAAACTAATACAGTTCAAGCTCAGTGTTGAGTTTCTTATCTATTAGGATTAGGCTATTCGTCAGAATTATAATTTCACCAGTCATTCGTTTGCAAGGTGAATTATGGCCACTGATTTCTTGCTATAGAAACAAAAGAATTTCTTTTCATTCTAGAAATCACACCACCGACTATTGCCTAATGAAAACCATTATCAGGGTCTAAGATTAATAATAAATAAAATAAAGTAAGGTTTTATTCAGACTAACTTATCTACTATGCAATATACACCATTAAAAAAGTTCCTTCTTAATCTGATTGCTCTTTGACAAAGACCTCCCCTAGAGTTTTTATCGATGGCCTTCCTACTCTGTGTTACTCATGCTGCTACCTTTATTTCATCCTCCCATCTTTCTTTTGTCTTCCACGCCAAACCACTACGCCATTGAACTCCTCGAGTTTAAATATTTCATAAAATAATGTGGTACATTATTTTATATAAATTATTATGTTGACATCTGTGTATAGGAAAATACCGCATGCGAATAAAGCGCTGTACCCACAAAATGTGCGAATTCACTCTGTATTTAAGATTCTATTAAAAGTAATTAATTGTCGTTATTGAAGGTTGACTTCGTCTATCTTTCATCAGTAATTTGAATATTGTTTTATAAATACTACAGATAATATAACGTTAAAGACATAAATAAATTGACGGTCCCAGGAAACACCATCATAAATTACAAATTTAATTAGATTACACGATTTGATAGACTTTTATAAGATAGAATGGAGCGTTAGTGGCATTAATCATTCAAATGACTCCAAAATAAATCTCAAATAAAATATGAGCTATTGTTTTTATACTTACTAATGGTAGGCACGCTCTGGATATACATATTTAACATTTTTCTTCATATGGTCCACTGAAGACATCATCACTTGTACCACGACGAAAGTACAGGATGCTAAAAAATAATAACTTATTAGAACTATTCGTACAAATTAAAATGACACTTGAAAGCCTATCTATTTATTACGTAAACAAAATTATGCCCGTTTTAGAAATGCTAATATGAATTCAATGAATTTCGATAATTCATGATGCAATGGAAGTAGGACCGCGGACTGTGATGCATAAATAATCTTAATGAATATGATTTTAACAAAGTTGTAAGAACTTATTCTTAATAAAAAATGCTTAAAAAATCCTTTCGCAATTCAGGCGATTATTCTAACCACTGAGCTACCCAGTACCTAACAGGACTGACGAATTTTTCAAGCACTTGTTACTTTTTTGCTACTACAGAGCGTATTTTCATCAATGTTCAGACAATTCACTCAAACAGCCGAAAAAAATATTTAAACTTTTTAAAGAAACAGAAATGCCCGAACATGGGTTCGAGAATTTTATTCTTTGATAATCTCTGAGATACAAAATAACGAAGATATAATGACAAATTAAAATGGAGAAACACCTAAAGTAAACGGAGGTTAGGTATGTCATAAGTAGTGACGACTATTGAAATATAAATTAAATCTCTCAATACCAGGAATAAATTGGATTTTTGAGAATGTTTCATTAAGAATTATAAATTAATAATTTTAATATGTGATTTAATTCTAATTGGGTTCTACTAAAGATTCAGTATTAAACTAATGGAAAATTTGTGCATTGATCAAAAATTTTTCCTAGACATGTAATGCGCTTGAAATATTTATTTGCTGAAACTTAAATAGAGCATCTGCGAAAAAAAAAACACCTTTGTAATTTCGAGCTTTAGTACTTCTATTTCTATTCAAATTTTACTAACACATGCATAACTCGTATCTATCGGTGTTAGGTTTAAAATTTTGTTCGTAATAAAATTTAATATATTGTGGCATCGTTCGACTTTTTCTGACATATTGTTGTCAAAAAGAATGTATGAATTGTTAGTCATATTTATCCAAAAGCAACTTATTTAAGTTTAACATAATTATGAGACCTTTACTCACTGCTTATGAAATGGATGCCTGCGGCAAGACGTTTAAACATATAACGTGGATTTCTGAAGGTGTATATTGAGAAACCACAGCCCATCGCCATCACGAATAAGCTGATGATACCGAACGATATCATTGTTCGCACGTAATCTAAAAATAAATAAAATCGTGTGTATCTTGAAAAATACAACTACTAAAGTACTGACGTCTAATAAGGCCCACTGTTAACTGCTGGAATTCTAAAGAGTCAAAATACGTCTCAACTACAGGCCTATGCCAACTGATCACTGACCAAGGGTGAATGTAATTAAGGTCTATTTCAGTTTGAGTTTAAGCATTCCAGCAATAAAAAATAGTGGGCTTTATTAGGTAATAATACCGTATGTCTAGAAAATAGGTAATTACATCTATCCTCTAAAATACGTTGACAAATGTAAAAAGATTTAAAAGTTAAACATAACATTTAAAGAAGTAATCAAATAAAATTGAAGTAAGTCAAAAATACTTACTTGCTATATCTAGGTCATAAGCTGGATCAGCCAGCTTGTTGTTTTCTGTGAGAGGTTGCGCTAGGTAGTTCGTACATTCTGAAACAAAATTTAAATATAATACATAGAAAACATATTTAAATCCCGCTCAGGCCACATAAAATCTTCGTTTTATAATATTCTAACACCTTTAGAATTCTTAAAGTTACTTAATTTTACTCCACATTAAATAGATCGATTATTAAACAGATAATTTTAATTTCAAATTTATAACCAAAACTATTTTTGCTACTTCAGAGTTATTAAGGAACAAGTGGAAGTTTAACAGTGTTCTTGAAACAAAAATGTATTTATTAAAAGAAAATTCCTAATATTTTATTATATTAATTATCTATATCTTCACACCGTGTCCCTTGCGGGAGGCAGTGAGGACCGAACGCCACATATCACTTTCCTTACGTACATCTTTCGCCTCATCCACTTTCGTTACTCTTTTCATAAATACTCGCTGGTTTTTATGGCTTCTAACATCACCTTCTAAAAGCACGTGATTGATTTGATCGTGATAGATGTGTCGTGGACTTACGCAGCTTCTGCAATTTTTTTCATTATTTTATTTACATCTCATTATTTCTATACATGCGAATCAACGGAGAATGTTGCTATTTTGACTCCGACGCTATTTTGAGAATATTATTATGTCAAAAATAAAATCTAATATTAGATCAAACCGAAGAAAATGTCAAAAGTCGTAAATAAACAGTTTAATTGCAAACATCACTATGATATGTTGATCACCCAATCCGTTGATGATCATACTAAAAGACTGTTTCAATATAATAAATTATATGCGAGCAAACGCAAATAATAAATTAAAAACTTTTGACTAGCACTAGATTTTATATCATACGCGGCTCGTGAAAATATTTGTTGGCAGAAGAAATATAAATTAAGATATTATTTTCTTAATATTTTGATCTGAACATTTTTAAGATCGCAAATATATTTCAGAGACGATTTAAATGTTTGTTTCTCTTTTCGATAGTGGTTCAGTCATTGTATCTAGTTGAGTGAAGAAGGAGGAGGAGGAAGTCTTAGGTCTGAATTGATAGAAAGTGGATAGAGGTATTGTTCCTAGGCACTACTCCTAATCGATGGTATCCCTGGATTTTTAGTTGGGTCCCGGTCTATCCTATCTGACAGAACGGCAGGGATGGCGAGGAATCAATTTTCTGCATGTCACAAAACAAAAAAGTTGTTAGCGTAGCCGAATTGTTCCGCCTCTCAGAAAACAACGGCTATTGAAATTTCACTTTATAAAGTCAATATTCAATATGTGATTGGACATGTTATACCAATTTTGTAAAGGCTGATTGAATATGTATTAATCCAAGTTCTCCACGCTTCGAAGGGAACACTAAGCCGTTGATCACGCCTGCATATACCGTCATCAAGCCCACCAATAGGTGACGGGCCAGCGTTGTGGGTTTTAACACTTTCTACTCATGATTCTTTCAGTAGTAGACCTATTAATGTAATAATAATAATTCACTAGTTGGAATTTACAACTTGTACGCCAGATTCTTTGTTATATTAGTATATACCGTGATTGTTAAAAGTTTGGAAAAACAAGAGAATAAGAACTTAATAAGCGATGAGATTTATGATTGTAGTTGGTTTGTAATTCATGTTGTTTTATTTCTATACGCCCACTTATTTCACTAGTTAGACACGGTAATAAATGAAAATATGAGTGATCTCTTTTATCTGACAAATTGACCAATTATTGTATAATAATAACACTGTCAATTTTGTGGGTCATTAAAATTCATTATTACGATGAATTAATGTTAAATGAGAGATAGTTATAGAAATATAATAAATTTCAACTACAGTGAGAATAACAGTTTGGTAATTACATTGTATAAAACAATAACTTTCAATAATAGAAAAATTATTCAAATATCTTATACTAGCAATTTTGAGGTTAAATAAAATACGACTACATCGAATGTTTGTTATCAATAAAACGACTATGTTATAACGAAAAATTATGAAAGGTTGCCTATTTAGGATACTTCTTAAAATATTGTCATTTTTATCATTGCTAACATTCATTTTCTTTTCACTTACATAGTGCTTTTGAAATTTGGCCGCACGGAAGGTTTTATCAGACAATTTATTACCCCCATTGCCGGTTTTACGGCATTCCGTGCTTCAAAGATAACTCCATTGAATAGAGAATTTACCATTTATAGATTTACAGGCTAAAAAGTGTTTCAATAATCATCATCACGAGGCTATTAGTATCCCCATTGCTTAGGATCGGGCCTACCCTATAGAAAGAATGGAATCAAATCGAGGGATGAGATCCACTACGCGGTCCCAATGTGGATTGGTGCTTGTTACCGTGACCAAGGACTGAACGTGCTTTCCGAAGCGCGGAGGAGCTCTTTCGCCTTTGCGAAAATTGCTTAATAACCATGTCTCAATGAAAAATGCTTAAAAAATCATCCTTGTCTCTGGGATGGAACAGGAACATGGTATAATGTGGATTTTTTAATCATTTTTCACTAAGAATATTATTCAGTATACCATTGTGAATGCAATATTGATTAAATATAATAAACCATATCTCAGACCTCATAGACATAATCAAGTCTCAACCAGTATCTTACTCGTAGAATATAATAAAGATATCCACTTGCCGGAGTGACCCAGTCAGGCGTGCGAACTAACAACGCATACTCCGTTGAAACGCTCGGCGGATCTTTTGTCAGATTTGTACAAATCTACATTAGAACGAACGTAGGTGCAGCAAAATTGCCTTGATTTCGAATCGACATACCGAGCTGAGCAAACTAGAGATTCCGACCTCGATTCCGACCTTAAATAAAACAACTTTTAAACAATTTCAATAGCAATGACATTAAAAAGCATCCGAATTTTAAAATTAAAATACCAACGGCTCGGGATCCAGTGATTAGTCGAATAAAATCTCAATCCAGACCACGCATTGCAAAACCAAAAGATGCAGATACTTCTGTAAATATTAAATCAAAAGGAGTAAATAATTCACTTTTCTTGTCGGAGTTTGTTTCGCCAGTTCTTCTCAAACAAGGCTTCCGAAGTTGAAACTGGTGGTAGATTATATTAGCTAGGGGTAAATAAATAAGTCAAATGTATTTCTAAAATAATTTATACATGTTAACAATTCTATAAATTATTTTTTTCAATGTATTTTTTTTCTATAAAAATAGTATAATTTTGAAGGTAGCTATACTTTTAATTAAAAAGACAATCAACACCTTAATCTTGTGGGAACTCGGAAACGTCAATAAAACTAAACGCGATGAAACCGTTTAAAAGTTGTTTCATTTATGTAAACAGATCTTATTGACCTTGGTTTTCGATTTTGAGACTTGATTTTTCGTCACCAAGATTGTTCTCAAGATCGAAAATAGATGTTTAATAAAATTGTTTATAAAGAATTTATTAAATAAAATATAATATATTAACAGTTTCCTTCATGTAAAAATTCAGTATTACCCCAATAATTTAGATAGATAGATTTTTGTACGACATAAGGAGAATAGGTAAATTTTTGTGAACCGATACGTTTCGATTTAAACGATCGATTCTTTTGCTACAGATCATAAACCTACCGGCTAGAGTTGCTGAACTATAAACTTGTTTTCGTGCGCTTCGGAGCGATTATATGAAGCTTGGATCCCACGATACCCGCCACATTATTATCGTGAAGAATAATAATAATAATAATAATAATTCTTTATTCATGCCAAAATAATACAAAATAAAACATACATTTGAACAGATGGTATGCAGGTCTTAAGGTAATTAGTTATATAAGGCAATTATTATAGACGGTATAAATCACAACTGACCCTAATAGATTATACAAATAATCTGTATTTAGGGATTCAGTTCCTTTCCCTATATTCTTATTGAGACACCCAAAATATATATTTTTTTAACTATCACAAGCCTTTTGGATCTCGTGTTAAAATTAATGTGTTTCAAAAACAAACTGAAGAAATTTTTATTTTTATTTCATCATAATATACAAGGAAATCGTATTATTTGTTATTTTCGACTGTAGCCGAAAAGGACAAGGCGTGATGTTCTCAACTAGTTAAAAGGGCGCCAGAAGCCAACTTCCTCAATCGACTTCAAAAGACGGTAGATCAAATTTTAGGCAGACATCAGATAGCAAGTCACGAATAACGCCTGATCCTAAAATTAAATGTCTCATTTTATGTACGACCGTGTTTAGGTGTCAACTAATTCAGTCCCTTTTGTTTGGAAGGAGACCTAATGCCACGTCATTAAAATAGTTTGGGTACCGTATGTGGGGCGGTCTGGTCAAACACCCGATCTTCGACGCTTTGGCATAGTTTCAGAAGCGTTGACTAAACGTCTGAATAATTAACCGTTTGCTGTAAAATAATTTTAGGATCGCTAACCTGTGTCATTAGTGTGTTAAAATGTAGTTAGCATTCGTTTTGCACACTTAATATATTCTTTAGTTGCCATTTAGGATGCTTAATAAACACCGCTTTATCAAAGAGCTAAGTTTTGAACGACATTTTAACAACATATAAAATAATATTTCAACTATATTCTTGAATAAATCGTAAAAATAAGTATTCACGAACACGTGCAATGTTGGCGGTTCGGGTGTGCAAATGTTATTATATTATATTGTATTCAATTAATCTCAATCGGAACTTATATTATCAGGAGAGATGGGTGTAGATATGTATGAGCATATTGAACATAGGACACACTACAAATAACAGAAATGGTTAGACGACATAATATTTATCTTTATCTAATCAAATAAAATAAAGATCGTGTCTTTTGCCGTCCCATATTTTTTGTAATGTAACATCAAATTTTTATAAACCATAAAATTTTGCTAACTTAAAAATGCAATAAAAAGCGCACATTTCTTTTTGTTTTCAATTTGTTTTTTAATGAATTAATATTGGATTGTACAAAGTGAAAAAACTCAGGCCGTGCCCCTCAACGGCCTTAGAAGTCTAAGGTGTACGTACTTTGGAACGCAAATTAGAGCG